TTCTCTTCTACGGATCTGAATCATGGGTCATCCACCGCCACCACCTGCGTCTACACGAACGCTTCCATCAACGCTGTCTCCGCACAATCCTAAACATCCACTGGTCAGATGATGTGACCAATACGTCTGTTCTAGAACAGGCAGCAGTCACAAGCATTGAGGTCATGATGCTGAGAACACAGCTGAGCTGGGCAGGGCACGTCTCCAGGATGAAGGACCAACCACCGCCTCCCGAAGGTCCTGCTTTATGGTGAACTTGCCACCGGCTGCCGCAAGAGAAGAGCCCCGAAGAGGATGATGCCTTAAGCCCCTAACGGTTTTTTTATTTTTCTAATATTTGTAAGCCCTTATAAGTTTTATAAGCAGATTTTAAAAGCAGCAACCCTCACTCCCTTGTCCCTTTCCCTGTAGCACCCTTAGTTTACACATTCCTTAACCCTCTTACCCCATTTTATGCACCCTATATCACTCCTACCCCCGAATCCAATAGAAATGTTTAGTCTTTTCTCAAGGTACGGCCCAGACTGTTTGGAAAATGTTTGTATCTTGGTCTAAACTGCAGAACATGGTCAAGAATTAGGTAACTATGTACCCTTTGTGCTCTGAAGATGGTGAAGCCCCCAGACCCATTTCTCAGGTGGTGGACCCGGGACGGTCCAGAGTAAAGGCCACAGGGTGGACACATTTGGGATTGGATAGATGGTATTATAAAATGTAACATCTCAGACACGGCCTGCGCGCGTCGTGTAACATCTTTTGCCTTGGCATAATAAACCCTTTCCTTATCTCACCCCTAATTAACTGCTCCCGAGATTTTTTTTTAGCACCAGCCGAGCAGGCATCAAGGAGATACAAGGACTCCCTGAAACAACATCTCAACCTTGGCCATATTGATCACCATAACTGGTCTACTCTGGCCTCCAACCAGGAGGTCTGGAGACACACCATCTATAACGCTGCTGATGCTTTTGAGAGCGCACGCAGGATCACCCTTGAGGAGAAAAGACAACGCAGAAAGAATCGTGCCTTGCAGAATGTACCACCTAAGGAGTCTTTCTGCTGTGCCTTTTGCAACCGGACGTGTCTATCTCGTATTGGCCTCTTTAGCCACCAGCGTGCTTGTAACAAACGTGGGTAGAGCCCTTCCCAAATCTTTGCTGGTGAAGCCCAGCCGTGATGACAACTCCCATAAACCCTCGCGGCCCCATTGAGCCCCATTATAGCAGCGCTTGCAGCCTCCCCAAGTTCCCCTCAGCCCCCAAATGCCACCCAAGTGCCCCCCTCAGGCCTCCAAATGCCCCATAAGTGCCTCATAATCGCCTCTCTGGGCCTTCAACTGCCCCTTAAATGTCCCCTTGAGCCCCCAAAACGCCCCTCATTTTAGACCCCCCAACTTTATGGACTACAACTCCCGTCATGCCCCACGCTCCCTCAGAGCTTCATTATATGCGGGACTACAACTTCCATAAATGATCATCTCACTCCATGAGGATCAGCACAGTCAAGTCAGATATGGCAACACACTTTCTGAGCCCTTTTTAATTAAGAATGGTGTGAAACAAGGCTGCGTTCTCGCTCCAACCCTATTCACCGTCTTCTTTAGCATGATGCTCCAAAGGGCCACTGCAGACCCCAATGATCAGGACGGTATCTACATTTGATACCGTACTGATGGAAGTCTATTCAATCTAAGGCGACTGAAGGCCCACACCAAGACCTTAAACCATCTTGTCCGGGAGCTGCTTTATGCTGATGACGTCGCCCTTGTTGCCCACACAGAAGCAGCTCTGCAGCGTTTGACATCCTGCTGTGCTGAGGTTGCTGAGCTCTTTGGGCTGGACGTCAGTTTAAAGAAGACAGAGGTCCTCCATCAACCTGCACCTCAGGAAGTCCCCCATCATCCCCATATCACCATTGGCCAATCAGAGCTCAAATCAGTCCAGCAGTTTAATTACCTTGGTAGCGTCATCTCCTCAGATCGTAAGATCGACAGAGAGATAGACAACAGGTTGGCAAAGGCATATAGTGCTTTTGGAAAACTCCACAAAAGAGTATGGCGTAATAAACACTTGAAGAAAAGCACCAAGATCAGTGTTTACAGAGCCATAGTGCTGTCTGTTCTCTTCTACGGATCTGAATCATGGGTCATCTACCGCCACCACCTGCGTCTTCTCAAACGCTTCCATCAACGCTGCCTCCGTACAATCCTAAACATCCACTGGTCAGATGATGTGACCAATATGTCTGTTCTAGAACAGGCAGCAGTCACAAGTATTGAGGTCATGTTACTGAGAACACAGCTGAGCTGGGCAGGGCACGTCCCCAGGATGAAGGACCAACCACCGCCTCCCGAAGGTCCTGCTTTATGGTGAACTTGCCACCGGCTGCCACAAGAGAGGAGCCCCGAAGAGGAGATACAAGGACTCCCTGAAACAACATCTCCGCCTTGGCCACATTGATCATCATAACTGGTCTACTCTGGCCTCAAATCGGGAGGCCTGGAGACACACCATCTATAACGCAGCTGTCTCCTTCGAGAACACATGCAGGATCACTCTCGAGGAAAAAAGGCAATGCAGAAAGAACCGTGCCTTGTAGAATACACCATCTAAGGAGTCTTTCTGCTGTGCCTTTTGCAATCGGATATGTCTGTCACGTATTGGCCTCTTTAGCCACCAGTGTGCCTGTAGCAAATGTGGATAGTGCCTTCCCAAATCTTCGTTCGCGAAGCCCAGACATGACAACTTCCATAAGCCTTCGCGGCTCAATTGAGCCCTATTATGGTGGTTTTTGCAGCCCCTTACAAAGTTCCCCTCAGCCCCCCAAATGCCCCCCAACTGCCCCCCTCAGGCCTCGAAATGTCCGGAAGTTCCTCATAATCCCCCCTCTGGGCCTTCAACTGCCCCCTAAGTGTCCCCTTGAGCCTCCCCAAACCCCCCTCATTGAACCCTGTTATAACGCCCCTTCCTGGACTGCAACTCCCGTCATGCCCCGCGCCGCCCATAGAGCCCCATTGCGGCTCTCTTCTGTCGAACTACAACTCCCTTGATGCCCCGCGGCGGTTTTGGCGCGCTTTCCGTCCCCCCGCACGAAAGGCCGCCATGATGGCGGCGGCTCTGGACAACTGGCTCCGCACCGAGATGGAGCTGCAACCCCCCGCCGTCCCCCCCCCGGCCGTGCTCCGCAGGTCTGGACCCCCTCGGGATCCCCCCTGAACACCCCCCGGGGTCGAGGGGCTGCGGGGGAGCCCCAGGAGGGACCCCCCGGCCACGGGCTGGGACCACTCTGAGGGGGGCATTTGGGCTCTGAGGGATCTCGGGGGGCTTTGGTGTCCCCTTGAGGGGTCCTGGGGGTCTTTGGAGGGGTTTGGGGTCCCCTTGAGGGGGGTCCTCGGGGTCTTTTGAGAGGGTTTTGGGTCTCCTTAAGGGGTTCTTGGGGGTCTTTACAGGGGGTTTGGGGTCCAACTGAGGGGTCCTGGGAGTCTTTAGAGGAGGTTTGGGGTCCAATCGAGGGATCCTGGGGGGCTTTTGAGGGGTCCTGAGGGGGCTTTGGGGATCCCTTACGGAGGGTCGGGGGGTCCTTGGGTGGTTTTAGGGTCCCTTGGGGTAATTTTGGGGTCCCTGGTTGGGTTCTGGGGTCTCTTGGGGTTATTTTGGGGTTTCTGTGGCAATTTTGGAGTCCCAGGGGCTAACTTTAGGGCCCTTGGGGGGGGTCCCTGGGCGGGTTGGGGTCTCTTGGTAAATTTGAGGTCATTTTGGGGTCCCCTCTTATTCCCCACCCAGACTCTGCTCCGGCCCCGGGGCCCCGGTTTGGGAATTCATCATCCGCCACGTCAAGAACTCCAGGTGAGGGGGGAGACCCCAAAAATTGGGGGAGGGAGACCCCAAAAAAACCCCCTGGGGGAATCCCCAAAAATTGGGGAAACCCCAAAACCCCCTTGGGGGGGACCCAAAACCCTCCTCAGGAGAGGCCTGAAACCCCCCGGGGGGGCCCAAAATCCTCCCAAAATCCCCCGTGGGGGGTCCCCAAAATTTGGGGGGTCCCAAAATTCAGGAGGAGACCCCAAAAACCCCCCTGGGGGGGTCCCCAAAATCTGGAGGGTCCCCAGAAATCGGGGGGGCCCAAAACCCTCCCCAGGAGGGCCCTGAAACCCCCTGGAGGGGCCCAAAAATCCCCCCCAAAACCCCCCTGGGGGGGTCCCCAAATTGGGGGAGGGTCCAAAATTGAGGAGGAGACCCCAAAAAAACCCCTGGGGGGGGTCCCCAAAATCTGGGGGGTCCCCAAAAATTGGGGAGACCCCAAAACCCTCCCGGGGGGGGGGCCCAAAACCCTCCCCAGGAGGGGCCCAAAATTGGGGGGATCCTGAAATTTGGAGAGTCCCCACATTTGAGGGGGGGGTCCAAAATTGAGGAGTAAACCCCAAAAAACCCTGAGGGGGTCCCCAAAATCTGGAGGGTCCCCAAAAATCAGGGAGACACCAAAACCCCCCTGGGAGGGCCCCAAAACCCTCCCCAGGAGGGCCATGAAACCCCCTAAAATTGGGGAGAACCTGAAATTTGGGGGGTCCCCAAAATTTGGGGAGGGTCCAAAATTGAGGGGGAGACTCCAAAAAAACCCCTGCGGGGGTCCCCAAAAATCAGGGAGATCCCACCCCCCCCCAGGGGGACCCCAAAACCCTCCCCAGGGAGGGTCCTGAAATCCCCCAAAATTGGGGGAGAAGCCCCAAAAACCCCCCTGAGGGGGGGCCCTAAAATTTGGGGGGGTGTCCCAAAATTTGGAGAGGTGTCCCAAAATTTGGGGAGGGGTCCCAAATTACTCAGGGGGTTCCAAAATTTGAGGGGGGGGGTCCCTAATTTTGGGGTGTCCCCACAGGAACGTGAAGAAGATTCGTGGGAACCTGCTCTGGTATCCAAAATTTTGGGGGACTGGAGGGGCCACAAAAATTGGGGAAAGAAATTTTTAAGGGTGCCCAAAATTTGAGGGAAACCTCAATAGTTTGGGGAGGGGTCCCAAAATCTTTATGGGGATCCCCGAAACTGGGGGGAAGGGGTCAAAAATTGAGGGTCCTAAAAATTTGAGGGAGGAGGGGAAGGAAAATTTGGAGGCTCCTAAAATTTTGGGGGAGGTCCTAAAAATTTGGAAGGGGTCCCAAAAGTAGGGAGGGGTCCCAAAAATTTTGGGGGGGTCCCAAAACTGGGGGTAAGGGGCCAAATATTGGGGGGGCTAAAAAAATGGGGGGGGGGGGGGGGAGGAGGAAATTTGGGGACTCCTAAAATTTTTGGGAAAGGTCCCAAAAATTTTGGAGGGGTCCCAAAAAATTTGTGGAGGGGCCAAAATTGTAGGGATCCCCCCCAAAAAATTGTTCCTTAACTTGAGTTTAGGTACCAACAGGAGCTCGAGGTGAGGGGGGGGGGGAACCCCAAATTTTGGGGGGGGTTTGGGGGGTCCTGAAAGTTAGGGGAGGATTTGGGGGCTGATTTTTGTGGGCATTTGGGTTAATTTTGGGGGTTCCTGGTGTTGATTTTTGGGTGAATTTGGGTGGAATTTGGGGCTCACTTTTGGGTTAATTTTGGGTGAATTTGGGTTGAATTCAGGGCTGATTTTTGGGTTAATTTGTTTTGAATTTGGGGCTCATTTTTGGGTAAATTTGGGTTGAATTTGGGGTGATTTTTGTGTTAATTTGGGCTAGATTGGAGTTCAGTTTGGGGGGTTTGGGGCTTACTTGGGTTTTGGGGTCCCCAGAGCTCATTTTTGGGGTTATTTGGGTAGTTTTTGAGTTAATTTTGTGTGAATTTGGGTCATTTTTGGGGTGTCCCCCCCCAGGCCGCGGTTAGTCCTCCGAGCCGCCAGGAGGCGCTGCGCGAGGCGGTGTCGCGCATGCGCGCCGAGGTGCGGCGCATGGACCAGGCACTAGGGGGCGCTCAGGAGGTGGCGCTCCAGCTCGGTGAGTCCGCCCGGAAACCGCGGCCGCACACGAACGTTCCACCCCCAAACCCGGCCCAAAAGGGGCGTTTTTGGGGTCCCCTTGAGGAATCCTGGGGGGCTTTTCAGAGTGTTTGGAGTCCTGAGGCTCTTTTGAGGGGTCCTGAGGGGGCTCTGGGGGTCCCTTGCGGAGGGTTGGGGGGTCCTTGGATGGTTTTGGGGTCCCTTGGGGTGATTTTGGGGGTCCTGGAGCCATTTTAGGGGTCCCCTGATGGCCCAAAACCCACTGTTGGGGTGCCTTGATCTTTCCAAGGGCCCTTTTTGGGGTGCCAAGCCCCATTTTGGTGTTTCTGACCCCATTTTAGGGTCTCTGGCCCCCCATTTTTGGGCTCTCTGACTCCATTTTTGGGGACCCAACCCCTATTTTTGGGGTCTCTGACTCCCATTTTTGGGGTCCCTGCCCCCATATTTTAGGGTCCCAAGCTCTGTTTTGGGGTCCCTGGCCCCCCTTTTTGGGGTCTCTGTTCCCATTTTGGGGGTCCAAAACCCTATTTTGGGGTGTCTGATCCCATTTGTAGTGTCTCTGATCCCATTTTTTGGGTCTCAAACCCCCTTTTTGTGTCCCAATCCCCCTATTTGGGGTCTCTGATCCCATTTTTGGGTCCCAACCCCCTCTTTTTGGGGTCCCTGATCCCATTTTTGGGGTCCCAAACTCCCTTTTGGGGTCCCTGACACCCCATTTTGGGGTCTCTGACCCCATTTTTGGATTCCGAACCCCTATTTTTGGGGTCAATGACCTCCCTTTTTGGGGTCTCTGATCCCATTTTTGGGGTCTCTGACCCCCATTTTGTGGTCTCTGGTCCCATTTTTTGGGTCCCAACCCCTTATTTTGGGGTCTCTGGTCCCATTTTTGGGGTCTCTGATCCCATTTTTGGGGTCCCTGACCCCATTTTGGGGTCTCTGACTCCCCTTTCCCCTCTCTCCTCCTCCAGAGGAGTCACTGAGGGCAGGGCAGAGCCGCTTGTGGGCGGAGCATCGCCGGGGGGCAGAGCTTCGCCTGCTGGGGGCGGAGCTGGCGCCGGAGGGGCTGCGGGGCCTCCAGGGGGCGCTGAGGGTGCCCCGGGACAGGTGAGGGGGTGGGGCCTGCAAGGGGGCAGGGCTTCTGAGGGGAGTGGGTGGGGCTAATTGTGGTGGGTGGGGCTTCCTTGTTGCAGTGAAGAAGGGGGTGGAGCTTCCTAAGGGGTGTGACCTAAGAAGTGGGTGGGGCTTCAATGGGGAAGGGGTGGGGCTATGTGGGGTGGGTGGGACATGCATGTTGTGATGGGAAAGGGGCGGAGCTTCATGGGGTGGGCAGGGCTTCATGAGGTGGGTGGGACCTGGAAAGGGGGTGGAACTCCCATGGGGAGGGGGTGGAGCTTTCTGCAGGGGTGGGGTTTTGTGGGGTGGGTGGGGCTTGGGAAAGGGGTGGAGCTTGCTTATGGCAGGTGTGGCTCCCAAAGGAGTGGGGCTTGGGGAGGGGGTGGAGTTTCCATGAAATGATGCAGAAGGGGTGGGGCTCCCTGGAAAGGAGGTAAAGCTTCCTGGTGTGGGCGTGGCCACCTCAGTGGGTGTGGCATATGTTGCCATGGGGTGGGGTTTCCCAAGTGGGCGTGTCCTCCCCAGGCCCCACCGCACAAGGGCGGAGCTTTCGGCCGCCATGGCAATGGGGGCAGAGCCTGAGGTGCTGGTGAGTTTGGGGGCGTGGTCTGCAGTAGGAGTGGCCTTTCTGGGTGGGTGTGGCTTGTGCTGGGAGGGCATGGCCTCCCTGACAGGCCCCGCCCACCCCCAGACCTCGATTCGGAGCCTGTGCGTGAGCAGAGAGGAGGAGGAGTTCCTGGAGCCCCACCCACCAAACAGGTAAGCCCCGCCCCTGCCTCCTGGCCACACCCACCTGCCTGTCAATCATCCATCAATCAATGCCTGAGCTGTCAATCATTCCAGGGATTCACAGGAGCTCCGCAAGGATTGGCTGGAAAAGGCTGAGGTGGGCAGGGCTTGGGCAGGGTGGGCGGGGCCTCAGGTTTGGAGCTGAATTTGGGGCTCATTTTTGGGTGAATTTGGGTGGGATTTGGGGCTCATTTTTGCGTGAATTTGGGTTGGATTTGGGGCTGATTTTTAGGTCAAATTGAGTGGGATTTGGGGCTTATTTTTGGGTGAATTTGGGTGGGATTTGTGGCTCATTTTTGGGTGAATGTGGGTGGTATTTGGACTGAATTTTGGTTGAATTTGTGTTGAATTTGGGGCTCATTTTTGTGCCAAATTGGGTGGGATTTGAGACTCATTTTTGATTGAATTTGGGGCTGATTTTTGGGTCAATTTGAGTGGGATTTGGGGCTCATTTTTGGGTGAATTTGGGTTCAATTTGGGGTTGATTTTGGGTGTATTTGGGTGGAATTTGGAGCCGTTCCCCAAGTGGGCGTGTCCTGCTGCCGGCTGGGCGTGTCCCACTGCGGGGTGGGCGTGTCCCCCATGCAGCCCCGCCCCCCGTGACGCTCAACGCCCCCCGCAGGCTGAGCTGGGCCGGCACCACCCCGAGGAGGTTCTGTGGGCATTGGAGGCTCTGGCCAATCACAACATGAGGTGGGCGTGGCCTGTGGGTGGGTGTGGCCTGGAGAGGGTGGGGCTTGGAGGTGGGTGTGGCTGGGAATGGGAGTGAAGGGGTGTGGCCAAGAGGTGGGGGTGTGGCCTAAGGGAGGAGGTGTGGCCAAGGGTTTAGGGGTGGGGCTTAAAAGAAGGAGTGTGGCCAAGGAATTGAGGGTGGGGTTTAAGGGAAGGGGTGTGGCTGAAGATTTGGGGGTGGGGCTTAATGTGGAGGTGTGGTCAAAGGCTTGGGGTGGGGCTTGAGGAAGTGGGTGTGACCACAGATTTAGGGGCGGAGCCTGCAGGAGTAGTTACAGTTGATTTGGGGTGGAGCTTAATTTGAGGGTGTGGCCA